GCTCTGGTCAGTGGTGTCCCCAAACCCACCCCTGTGGTAGCAGCTGTCCGCGCTGTCCGCCGTCACCGAGCTCAGCCGGCTGCGCGAGCTGCTCTCGCTGGAGAAGCGCGGCTTCAGTGGGAAGAGGGGTCCCGGCGTGGCACAGCCCCCCAGCACACTGGGCTCCTCCAGCTCTGGCGTGCCCAGCACCGCCTCGTCGGTCACCGCCCCTGCGAGCAGAAGCCAAGAGCAGCGTTACTGCCCGGTGAGCAGGACGGCTGTGCCGCGGTGGCACGGGGAAATGTCCTGCCCAGCATCTTGGCCCCTTTCCTCGTGGGAAGGTGTTTCCTGACCATGGGGTGCTCTCTGCCCAGCCTTGCCCACATTCAGAATCAAAGCCGCTCCCTGAGCAACCCATAAAACAAACAAACCAACCCACCTCTCCCCTGATAAGCCCAAAATAAGAATGGAAAAAAACTTTACAACCCACATCAACCGCTTTCCTGGAACTCTTGCAAAAGAACCTTTGGTCTGCATGAGTCAAGCAGGACCCAGATTCATTAGTCCTGGAAAAAAAAACCTTTCCCAGGGCCAGCCCCAAGCCTTCATTAACAGGGGAAAAAGAAAGTGAGCAGCAGTGAAAGAACTGCTCTGCTGGTGCAAGTGCGTTTCCGCAGCAGGAGGCGGCAGCGCTGTGGTTTCCTCCCCGGAAAGCAGACGTACCGTGCAGCAGGCGCTGCTCCCGTGTGAGCAGGGCACGCAGCTCCGTCCGCCTCTGCTGCAGCGATTGCTGGGGAGAGGGCTCCGTCACTCACACCCCTCCGCAGAAACATCAAACACTTGTAGAGAAAACCCTGTATCCAGAGAGCACGGGTCACTGGCAGCATGCACTCGTGTGTCCCTCTTTTTACTGAGACAATTTTCTCAGAGTTTAGCAGAGATCTTCCAGAAAGCCCAGTCCTGGCTGCTCTGGCTGAGGTATGGCACACCTCTGACTTGAAAAGCAGAAGCCTGAAATCTAGGAAATTGTCTGGAAGAGATGCTGGGGAGTTGTCCAAAAATTTTCTTTCTCCCCATCCAGACCCAACCAAAAGAGCAAGCACCTCCTGCACACGATTTTTCCCATCTAATTAAACCGTAACAGCGGCAGGGCTGTTGGGGGAACCGATGCACAGCCTAACGGGGTGCCCATTCCCACGGCGCAGTGGTTGGGGGCACGGAGGGGTGCATATCCCAGCTGCCGTGCCCTGCATCCCGAGGGCAGGACACACTTGTGCAACTGCCCAGCCACACGCAGGGGGCTCCGCGCCGGCACCGCCTAGCTGCGGTCGCAGGGTTTGCAGCGGTGGAGCACACCCTGCAGCAGGGCAGCAGGGACGGTTATAAACACAATGCGGTTCTTTCCACCGCAGCCACGCTGATGTGAGAGTGCCGGGCCGAGCACACACCCAGGTTTTGCTCTGTAACGACGCTTGTCGCAGAGGTTTGGCACTTCTGGGTAACAGCTGCTACCTAAAACCCCCCCTCTTGAAATACCACATTTCACAGCAGATTTTGGCTTTGCAATTTCCTGGGAAAGGGGTGAGGCAGGGGCTGTTTCTGGTGACTGCACCGGTTATTTCATCCAGATTCCCAAGGACCAGCCCAAACGTCTTGTCCTGGCTCACTGATGGCGATGGCTTGCCGTGGTGCACTGGCAGTGCCCAGGATGGGAGCACCCCGCTGCCACATTCCCATTAACACAGCAAGGAACACTCAGGCTCTGGGGACTGGCTTGTTTCTCGCCACATCCGGACGAGCTGTCCAGCCTGGAGGTCTCAGCATCCCCAACCACCACCCCAGCTCCCACCAGCCTCGGGCACTGGGGATGCGTTCACATGCAGTCCCTGCGCTCACACCACTCTCCCAACTCCTCCCGCTCATGGCACCACACCATCGTGAGGGGGTTTGTCCCAGCACCAGCTCTGGGCTCAGCTCTGCCCATGGTTCCCACCACCGAGAACCCCCAGCCTGTCTTACAGCTGGCTTCAGGGGAGCAATGCCCGAAACCATCCCAGCTGCTTCCAAAAGCATCCTCCATCATCCTCATCAGCTTAGCGAGCCTTGGAGGGGAACTGAGCTCACAGGGGGCTCACTTGGGTCTCCTCCCCTGAGGTGACCCAGCTCTCGCCCATACAGGCAGGTGCTGCCCTCAGCACCCCCCTGCAGACTGTGGAGCCTGGGGTGGATCCCTCCTTTTACATCATTTTGCAACCCCACCGTTACATCGTCTGCATCATCACCGATCTCAGGCCATGCATCACAGTGCCCTGTGCTGCTCTGTCATAAACACAGTGCAAACCAAATTAAATAACCATTGCTTTAAACATGCTGAACACTAAATGTGAAATCACCCCTGTGGGAGGAGCTGCATTTTATAGGCAGTGGCACATATGGCAAACCCTGTCCCTGCCACGCCGATCTGGCAAGCCGAACCCCTGGGGCATGAGGGTTATTCCAGCCAGACTGATTCCTAATGCACTGTTTAAAGAACCACACACCCGTGATTACAAAAAAAAAAAAAAAATTACGGGGACTGTTGCTGGGGATGCTGGTGGCAGGGGACACGCGACTGCCTGACCCATGGACAGCCAGCCCCATGGACACCCCCTACCCCCACTAGGGATGAACCCACCACAGCCCTCTGCGTTCTACAACAGATTAACTAAATGATTATCTTACCTTCAGTAGCTGCAGCTTGGTCTCGAGCTCCATTTTCCGCAGGTACATGGCCCCGTTGACCGTCTCTAACCTGTGAAGAGCAGGCGATGTTGGCACTGCAGCCCATCACCGCACCGTGTGCCAGCATCCGTGCTGCGGGTCCTTGGGGAACAGCCACACGGGGGGACGGTGGCACCCGCCCGGCCGACCCCTTGGAGGAGGGACACCCACCTTAAATAGTTCCCTGAAGACTTTATCAAGTCTACAATTTGCTTGTGACTGAAGCCGTCGGTGTTGACGCCGTTGATGCTGGCGAGGATGTCGCCTGTCAGAGGGACACAGGTGACAATGAACGCCTGCCTGCAGCACACGCGCGCCTTCCGTGTGCTCTGCAGTAAAAGTAACGGGGAGAGGAGCAAAGCAAGGCCACCCACGGCAGGAAAAATCCGTGATTAGTTACCGGTTTGAAGGCCAGAAAGATGGGCAGGACTTTCTTCTTGGATTCTGCAGACGCAAGTACACACCTCCAGGGAGTAATCATGCTGGTGCGGAAATCGTATCGTCTGTGAACACCAAAGGGACTGTGTTACTGACACCGACCTCCTGACAACAGTGTAAAAATCCAGAGTCTGTTTACCCATCTTTTAAAGGAGAAGGCTGTGATGGGCAGGGTGTGTTACCATGCAAGTGGGAACACCAAAATATAACTTAACAATGGGAAATGGCATTCCCGTGGCAGAGGGACAGGCACCTGTACCCCTTTTTTTGCACAAAAAAATACTTTTAAAGCAAGTTGGTGGTTCGCTATCAAAAGCTCAGTGACTTCAGCAGAGGCTGTCTGTTAGCACAGTTGGACTCAGTGATCCTAAGGGTCTTTTCCAGCCTAAACATTCCATGATCCTATGGCTGCGGTTGGTGTCCATAAGGACACTCGTGTCCCCAGCACAGCACGGCAGGGTGAGACTCCTACGCATCTGGAGCCTGAAGGCAGCTGGTGCATCGCCTCGCAGTTAGGGCTGAAAAGCAAGAAGAGTTGAACCTGCTTCTGCTCTTGTGGTCTCTTAAATGCACTATCCCCACACGTCCCCACGCCTCCTCAAAAGTGCTTTTTATTCTGGAATTACGCCCTTCAGTAGGTAATTCTGAGCAAAAATCCGCCACGTGATTCTCGGTGCTGACATGTATTGGAAAAATGCAAAAGCAGCGAAGAACCCGACCGGATCTTGCAGTGACAGGAAATGTCTTCTTGGTGACATGCAAATATCGGCACTTAGCCACATCTTCCTGCCAAAATTTCAGCCTGAACCTGAGCTTCCTGAAAGCCTACGGCAGCCGTGTCTAACCCAGATACAAGAAGTCGTGTTAGACCCTAACTGATGCCAGGGATGCAGAGCAGGGTGAGTTCAGAGCTTATCCGGCCAAATCACACCAACGCAGCGACTGCAGCCAATGATAAAACTTCTGTCTAAAGCAAGAGCACCAAGCGAACCACGCGGGCCTTGGAGGACATGCCACTGCAGGTCACGCTTGCTGTTTTACTTTTTTTTTTGACCTTTTTCAGGGTGGTAGGTGTCATCTACCAAACTGGAGCCCTGGGCCAGCTCAAGGCGGACAAGCAGGGTGGCATCGGGCACGTCCCCAGGCTCCGCTCCGGCAGCGGGAAGCGGGAGAGGCGGCAGTGACACGGAGAAGCTCTGGCGTGGGGCCATCCCTGCAGTTCTCCTCAGCTCCCTGCAGATGGTAGACCTGGAGTTTCACTTCATCTTATCCTGGTTTGCCTATATTTAGCTGGCGGTCGTGCAATTACAGCTTCTAAATAATGGTTTATCCTTAGGATCAGGTGCTGCCTTTCCATAGCCTGGACTTCCTAGTGAAGTGCTCATGCTGAATGTATGTTCAGGATGAAAAAACTCCAAGAACAATTATTTTTAATCAGAATGTCAGATATAATGAAAATCTGCCCTGACAATTTCTATAAAAGCCCAGTAATTGACTCAATTATCCTCCCTTCTGAAAGCCCTCCCCTGCTCAGGAGCTGAGCACTTACCCGCTCGTTAGTCACCGAACCGAATTTGAAAAAGTTAAGCTTTCCCTAACACTCTAATTTCACCAGCAACACTATTTTCTCTTTGTGCACAGATAGAGGCGAGTCCTTTGGCAATGCACTGCTGCGGCTAGCTCCGCGGTACAGCCACAACCCCTGCTCCCAAACCTGCATCCTTTTATTCCTGGGACTATTTTTTATTTATAAACGGGATTTTAGCAAGCCTACTGAGCTCACAAAAATCGACAGAACAAAGATCTCCCCCCAGGCAGCACTCCTGATACGATTCCGGTTTTCCCATTCGATGATTTAGTGACTTCTACATCTAATACAACATATTCCTGTATGGTTTCACTCCAAAAAAGTCATGCCTAGGAGTTATTTATTAAAAACCATACAAATACTGTACATCAACTTCAGAAATACATACATCTCTATGTATGTTAAAGGTGGTAATAAAATGCTAGAATTAGGTATTTTTTGGAGAGGGAGTTTTTTGATCTCTCCCTTTTCATATGAAAATATTCTCATACAGTTCTCCCAACAAATATTCACTTATGGAGGTAAGAAGGCATTGCCATTGCCTAATATCTGGATTTGGATGAGGTTGCTCCTACGCTCCCTGCTCTGGCTTGTGAGAAGGCCAGAAATCCTCCTCTGTGACCTTTGCTATGAAAAGTCCCTGGCAATGCACCCTAGCTCTGCAGCACGACTGCAAGCTCGTCAGATTTCACGATGAACTGACAGATGTCTTCCTCAGCTCTGTGCTGGCTTAACCCAGCTCGGCGGACGTGACACTCGGGAGTTTGCACCGTGCTTTGTTTTTAAATGAACCGACTTGTCGTTTAAGCCTTACCTGGATTTCAAACCCAAACGTCTCTTTATCTTCTTTTAGTATAGCAACGAGGTGTCTGTAGGAAGAACACACAGAGCTGCGCATGAGCGCCAGGGTGCCGGGCTTTGTGCTCGCTGCATTTCTCACCAAAACAATCATGTCCACGTCATTGCCCTCTAACGATTGTGTCCCTGTCACTGCCCCCTGTGCTAGCCCCAGATGCTGCAGCTGCTCTCCCCTTACTCAAGCTAAATGTCACCGTGTCTCCTGCACATCCCAGGCGCTGGGTACCACTCCCTGCCTTGCACCCCCCCAGGGGCTGCTAAACAGGGGCGTTCCCAGGACGCACATTTCACACAGAATTAGTAAATAACAGAGATTGTAGGGGAATATCTTCATACCTTTGTGGCCTGGAGGAGTCGCCCAAGGAACTGGACCTGGCTAAGGCGAGCTGCAGCCAGAAATGGGAGACGAAAAGGGTCAGTGGGCTCACGGTTCTGTGAGGCACGTGGCTAATGTCAGCAGTTTGGAGAAAAACTAGAACGGCTGGTGGGATCCCGCCGCCAGCCTGCGCAGGGGCCTCCCCCCCCCCAGCCTGCCCAGTGCAGCCTCTCCCCAGCCAGCTGAGAACTCCAGCTTTCGGAGCACGACTACGTGCGGCCAGGGCCAGGATGCGAGACAGCTCATCGACATGTCCAAAGCTGAGCCGG